CGCCTTGATACATGGAAATCACCTGAAGCAATAATAATTCTATTGGCAAAAAAAAAACCTGCAATCATTAATTCTTTTTACACAAAGACTATCTGATCTAAAAGATTAGCTTTATGACAAAGGTGATATGGTAATCTTATTAATCCTGTTATAACTTCCATCAATATTATAATCTTCTTTTGATTAAGTATGTTCAAATTCAATTGGATGGCACATGATCAAGTTCATGAATAAGGATTGTCTATAATTCTATTTTAATTGAGGATATCCTTTGTACAATCTTTTTGTATAAAAAGAAAATACCTGGATGACCTAGTCTGACTTAATGTTATAGAATAATCCTGTTGTTATCATTTCACTCATCACACTAATAAAATTATTTAGTGTGTAACAACAGGTTCTCTAAATGTGCACCCATATCACATTTGAGATGATCCTAATTTTGGGTATATATTTTCTTTTCTTGCTGCCTTAATTTTACCTTCAACTATCTGAGTTACAGCTAGATAGACCGAAGTACAAAGAAAAAATATATGGCTTAAAAATCAGCATATCAGATAATCTGCATGCCATAAAATTCCAATATTTAACATAAGTTATAATTAAATTGCTTGAAAAGCAAATTATATACCCTGATATTATAATCCTTCAGTAGCAAAAATCGATTTTATTTCTTAAAAAGCCTGCAAGAAAGAAATAGAAGTTGTGAGTGTGACCCTAGATCCAAACATGATATATGTAAGAGTCACACCCATCATAACAAGTATGATAGTAGTATATAGGCCAGGAACTGAGCATGATGTCATCGTCACCATCTTGGAATTTTGAGGTCATATTATCAAAAATCAAAGTCCTTCAATCAATGCGCAGTTGTCCCATGGACATATGAGTCAAGTTCCATGTTGATTGTACTTGAAATGGTGGAGCCATAGGCTTTTTTTTTAGAGTGTAGCCCACAAGAAGAAGAACAAATATTCTGCCAAGAAAATCTGGAAAAAAAGCCTGTAATTCCTGCATCTATTTTATGTTCGATCTTTAATCATGTCTAGTCTCAATATTTTACTGTTTTATATTCATAATAATGATACATTACATATATTTCAAAATCACCATGTATTCAAATATATGCCGGTCATTAAATTTTCATTTGATTTTTTTTTTATGTGCATGCAAGCCTGATATGAGTTTTTCATTCCCTTAATTATGTAAATTTTACACATAACTCCTGACAGGATAGATTTATTATTAGCAAAATTTTAGAATTCTACAGCATTTCATATGTGTACCAGCTGTGTGGCAGGAATATTAGGCAGGAATTTCAGTATTAACAGTTAGCAAGCAACCTGGCCACCTGCCCTTGGTTAAGATGCAAGCATGTTTCTCATCAAATCAAACCGCATTGCAAAGACAAAGAATGTTTTATAGTGCATAATTTTCCATAAAAAGTTATTGACAGTGAAATATTAATTATATCAAGATATACACACCACTAACAAAGAACAGTAGAATCCGTCTGCTTCACCCAAAAGACCAATCATCCCACCAACACATGTCTATCAAATGTTGTTTGCTTTAAATATGAAAGTCATGTCTTAAATAAGTAGGGGACAAAATTAGTCAAACGATTAGGAAACTACACTGTCCCAGGTTCAAACTCAGATATGGATTAAGAGAAGCTGTCTTGAAAAATCCAAACATTAATAGAATTGACAAGGAAAGTATGCCAAATCATCTGGATAGGACAAAAAAGAAATCCCATGATTCAACACATCAGCTGCTCATACAAAGACGACAAGAATTATATGAAATGAAATAAAACTCCAAAGAGTACTGACGTGTTTCTTCATGTAACGTCAGGTCACGCACGCCTTCACGTCAACAATCAAGTTACACCATGAATTATTGAGTATAGTAACATCCAATACCTACTAAAGTGGAAAAAAACCTGTCATTTTGATCTCTTAAAAAAAAAAAAAAAGTTTTACTTCTCGACTCACCTTTTTTATATTAAATGTTGTAGACATCAAGGTCATCATACATACAAAGGTCAAATATTGAAAGGTTAGATCACAAGCTAGAAGGTAAAAAGTCGAACAAAATTCATAGTGAAACCGAAAGTAAACAAAATCGAAATTCAAAAATCTGCTCCCTAAGGATTGTTGCCATTTGGAGTAGGTTCAAAACAATAAAAAAGTTTTCGAAAATCGGAATCAAAATGGCAGCTGAATATCGATTTGAAGGTTTTTTGTAGAATCCAAAATGGCGGCCAAATGTTTGAAAATGTTATTGAACAAGGTCTCTGAAAATGAAAGATAATATCTGGGGCTAACACCACCATGGAGAGAATTATCCACGTACAGGAAATCGGAAGGACTCAGAAATTCCAGAAGTTTCCGGAAGCCATCACAAAGTTTTTTAATGCGCCATTTTGAAGGCATCAATGTGTTACTTATTCCTATCAAGTTTCAACTTGATACCTCAAATAGTGACAGAGATGCGCCATCTTGAATGTCAAAAAAATGCTGAAGAAAACTCACGCAAATATTTGATGCTAAAACTAATCGAGCGAACTTCCGAATTTCGAAAAACTGTCAGTCAGAGCCCCTATGGGATTTGTCCAAAGAATCCAAAATTGAAAACCCGAAGAAGATCCGTTGAGAAATAACCGAGATATGGGGATATCTGAAATTATTATTTGTCCCATCCTTTAAATACTTCCTGTTTGTCAAAAATTACCCAATTTATATTTAACATTTCATTGCACAGTGGCCAACTCTGCCTACGTTGGTAGAATGTTTGCCCCAATGCAAAGTTTTGGCTCCAACTTCTGACTAAAATCGACAAAAAAAAACCAACAAAAAACCAATGGTTTTTTAAAGAATCTCAACAAGAAAAAACAATTATTGAAATCGGTTAAAGATAGGTTGACTGGCAACGAAACATACGCCCACAGCAGCTAAATCGTTCGGGCAGTCAACAAGAGTTGTCGCATATTTTTACTTTTTTCAGTAATGGAACATTTATATTACACTAAAATCTGATTAAGAGTAACAACTCATTAAGTAATTATCAGAAAATTAGAATTTGTTTGGCTCATGCTAATGATGCTAACGTTTAGTATACAAAACATTTAATATCATGAAATTAGCTGTTCAAATTATCAAAAATCATTGAAAATCAATAATATACTAGTTCATCTCAAGACCTTAAACTCTGTGTGTCAATCTAAAGTCAATCGAAACGATTATATATAGGCATAAACACGGTGTATAAATATAAAATCAATCAGATGATAAATCCACAAGATTTTTCAAAGTGATCAAGGGCCATAACCCTGCCTGGAATTATCGGAAATTGCTGAAAATCAATAGGTTTCTTTATCTGATGACCTTAAACACTGTGTATAAATTTAAAGTCAATTGGATATCATCTTTAGCCTCGAGAGCGTCCACAAGATTTTTCAAAGTGATCAAGGATCATAAATCTGGCAGTAATTATCAGAAATCGTTGAAAATCAATAACTTTCTTCATCTGATGACCTTAGACACTGTGTATAAATTTGAAGTCAATCGGATATGCCTCTAAGGCATCCAAAAGATTTTTCAAAGTAATCAAGGATCATAACTCTGGCAGTAATTATCGGAAATCATTGAAAATCAATAGGCTTCTCCGTCTCATGACCGTAAACAATCAGATATTAACTTTAGCCTCTAGAGCATCCAAAAGAATTTTCAAAGTAATCAAGGGTCATAACTCTGGCGGTAATTATCAGAAATCGTTGAAAATCAATAGGTTTCTTCGTCTCATGACCTTAAACACTGTGTATAAATTTAAAGTCAATCGGATATTAACTTCAGCCTCTAGAGCATCCAAAATATTCTTCAAAGTAATCAAGGGCCATAACTCTGGCAGTAATTATCTGAAATCGTTGAAAATCAATAGGATTCTTCTTCTCATGACCTCAAACACTGTATAAATTTAAAGTAAATCAGATATTAACTGAGAGTGTCCACAAGATTTTTGAAAGTGATCAAGGGCCATAACTTGGGCAGTAATTATCGGAAATTGGTGAAAATAACTAGGCTTCTTTGTCTGATGACCTTAAACACTGTGTATAAATTAAGTCAATCAGATATTAACTGAAAAATAAAAGGAAATAACTGAGACTTGTATTGCTGTAATCCGATGACTTCCAGTTCCAGAAGTTTAAAAAAAATTGATCAAGTCCTTTAAAAAATCAGATGGATCAGAAAATTTAATTAAAATAGTGGGAAAAATAATAAAAAATGGCGGGAAAATATTGAAAAATGAAATGATATAATTTTGAATGTAAGTAATATTTTTGGAATCAGATTTACCCCAGCTGTTCGAATATTTAGGTCATATTTGTAAATTTTGAAAATTAAGGAAATAAATTGTCGTGTTAACACCTTTGTCGGGAAGAAAAGGTCACAGGCGAAAATCAAAATTTTGAAATTGTCAAACATCAAAAATTCGACCCTTTCAGAAATTGAAGAGGTGTTCTTCAAACAACGGCCTATTGCGATCAATTTCATGTGGATTTTTCACTTTATTTCATATTCAATTCAAAATGGTGACCATCGAGTTGACAAAAATAAAAATTCTGCTTCGATAAATTTTTAGCCATTCTTTCAAGGATTCAGAAAATGTAACTCCCATGTCTGTAAGTAAAATATTGCAAAAGCCTTAGGGATCAGGGATTTTTCATGTTTCAAAATGGTGGCACTTCCGGTTCGATCGACAAACACCATATTTTGTGTATGCATCAGTAATTTCTTAGCTACTACAGAAAAAAAATTCAAGGCATTCTGACCTACTTTTTTTCGATTTTTTCAAAACTTAGTCCCTTAATTTCTCCAAGGGGAGATAATTTAGAAAATTTCTAATGAGATCGTTGAAATTGGATCAATGAGGTCTACTTACATTCCAAATTTCATGAAAATCTTATTAATATTACGTCAATTTGGTTTTACTTCCAGGACAAAATGTCAATGATGTAATTGGCGAAATTAGAAAATAGCAGATTTGAAGAAAATGTTTCAAGGTACTCAAAGAAAAAAGAATTAGTAAAATAGATCAAAAAGTCACCAAGTTTTAGGTATGTAGGTCAATTTCTTTGTTCGTAAAATTAAGTGATTTTAATCAAAAGCTACCACCCATTTATTTTTTATTGGGGGGGGGGGGGGGTAGGTAAAAGTTTCAGAAAGATCCAATGGTTAGATTCGTAGAAGTCCTATTTGCAGGAAACGCACAAAAGAAAGAAAAAAATAATAATAATAATAATCTTAACAAAAACAATAAGCTTTTATATGAAATTTATGAAAGCTTAACTAAAACTATTCTCAAACAGGAGGAACAAGGAGGAATGCACGAGGAACTCTCTCGGTCAATACCGGTAGCAAACTTCCTGGTTAGACAGGCAGTGCATTACTCACTGAGCCACCACAGGTCTTTTGAAAAATAAAAGTAAGATTAGATTTTCAAACACGTTGAAATTCATTTTGGCTGACCAAATCTAGAAAAGGCTCTAGCGTTGTAAATGACAACCATATATCTTTAAAGTATGAGACAATCGTTTTACTTATACTTTAAAACAGCAGGACACGTTAGCTGTAGCTTTACTGGTATTCAAAGAAGACGGCATGTAGACAAAAGATATGTCATATAAATTTGATGGCAAACAATTACTTACTTAACTGACTTCATGACTTCATAAAATTAAGAACAAAAATTAAATAGCCAACACTGGGATTGAACTTGTGGCATCCTTGCTACAATGCCCGAACGTAAAAAATTGAGAAATACGAACAGCTACAAATTCGTGAAAACCGCATTCAAATTGGTTGAAAAACAAAACAGTTTCCTTTGGTGTCTAATATTGGTCTATTTTTGTCGATGACGTCACTTCCTGTTATCATTTTTTTAAAGTTTTAGTTATTCTTTTACCATTCCAACTAAATACCTATTGGATAGTATAGAGTTTATTTCTGTAGAATTAGTACTTTTTCCAAAAACGCGATGGAAAAAAAAAATAATAAATATAATCTGAAAAAAAACCCCAATAGTTTTTATACTATGTAGTCGTATAAAAACTAATAATCTTAACAGAAACAATAAGCTTCATACGTAATATGAAAGCTTAAAAACTTTAACAAAAACAATAAGAGAGAGAGAAATGGGGTTTAACGTCCACTCGACACAAACTAGGTCATTTCGGGACTAACATATGGTTCAATTTTATTTCCATAATTTGCTTCCACATAGGGGTCTTTAAACTGTTTAACGTCCTACTTTTGCCAAGACAGCGGCGTTATAGAATGGCTAGACGCAGTTCTTTGCCAGGCCCTCACAATCGCTAGTTATTGATTTAACAGATATGAAGCGTCCCCTACATCACTTGAGAAGACAACAAACTGACAGGTTGCCAGTTAGTGATACCCTTACATTTTTGTCCTCTCCACAGCCCATGGTTGTTTTTTCTGGGAAACAAGGATTTTCTAATAAGATTAGGCTTCTGTACTTTCCATATACAAAATGGGAGCCACAGTGGGTAAAAGGCTGTCTCGCTAGCCTGGAGGTCACATGTATGATCCCTTCATCGGGATTTTCCGATATGGTTCCCCCTTGTCAGTGGTACAGGATGGAGGGCCTGACAAGGACAGGTGTCTAGTCATTCAGATGGGGCAAAAAAACAGGTCCTGTGTATACAGTGGTGTGCATGTAAAAGATCCCTTGACAGTTGGAATTTAATATAAGAGTAGGCCATAGTGCTGCTGCCCGGGCAAATTTCCCTCATAGCACACTGTATGGCATATGCCCGTCTTCATTAGCCCAGTTGGAGCAGAACAGTAGGACGTTAAACCCCATTTCGTGGGAAGGCATCTTTAAGTGCAGCATACTTACAAATTTGAAAAGATTTCACACCACATCAAATCTTCTCACAAAGCTGCAACACTCATTTTACGCTGACCTGATCAGCAAAGAAAAAAAGCCTGTGAAAAGTGGTGAAAGTAAGACAGAAAGAAAGTAATCTATTTTTTAAAATATATTAAACATTCATTAAATTTTTAGATTGTGATAAACAACAATAATTATATAAGCTTATATAAAATACACTTACAGTTGATATCATTACAAAACTGGGTTCTGGGGTAAATTAACGTGTATTTAATGTGTGAAAATGTGATAATAATGAAGATATTAAAGCTAATGTATTGAGATTTAGCAGATGGAATCCCCATTTAAATCCCCAGTGTATTCCAATATCTGATAGAATGGCCATTTCAACAAAAATATTTAAGTCTATATTTTTACAAAATTCCCCTAAAGATCTATTATTTTTTTGAAAAATCGATCTTGTCCTTTTTTTTTAAAATGCGGATTCATAAAACCATTCCTCTGCATACGCCTACCAGACCTATATATGATCGATTTGAAATACAACTGTAATCTATTTCTTGCTTTGAAGTAATTTAAAGGATATAAACCTCTTTGATTAAGGTCAAATCACTTTGAGACTAAGAGAAGAGAATTAGGGCAAGATCAATACTGTTATTAGTAATATTACTTTCAAAATATTAAGGGGGAATGAACTGAACTGAAATGAAATGGAGTTTAACGTCCTACTTTTTGCATCAACTGGGCTAACAACACCATGCAGTGTGCAGACATTAAACCAAATTTCATTTCATTTATAACCCTAACCATGGTAATTTAAATAAAATAAATATAAGAAACCCTAGGACTTACCCAGGAATAGTGAAACAAGAAAACATAATCCCTAGGTTGCCTCCAATTATTTTCTTTTTTCTTCAAAAACAAAACTAAGATTCCAACTGAATACTAGAAACAACAAGACTACTTAGCAAAAGCTAGAGCCTTTTATTTGTGTATTAAAACATAATGTAGTATGTGATGTCATGTATAGATTGTTGCATCAAAATACCTTTTCTAAAGATTTACCACAAATCCCACTCCCTTTAGCGGTGTATTTAGTGGCCAAGACACCCCCACCATCCTCACAGAAAATAAATCAATGGAAATGCCCCTTAAAACTTTTCTGCAGGAGGACCATTAGATTGACCATTGTTAGGGTGCCCCATGCAACCAAAATTTCCCCTACTGAAAGTTCAACTCGACACAGCGAATGTGCATGCTTCAGTGGATTGTCTCGAAGTGATTTCTGGCTAGTCACGCGGTGCGATAACACTCAGCACAAGAGTCTACGAGTCTATAAATAGCCATCAGACGTGAAATTCTACACATCTCTCAACTATTACAGCCCGTAAAAAAATCTATTATTGACGATTCTGAATAGCTCTGAGAAGTAATATTTAGCTTTTTAGTTATTACAGCAGCTTTAGAAATTACATTTGTTTTATTTTTTAAATTGCTTTATCATTAACTATACCGTTAGTACAAATAATATCTCTGAAACACTCGGGTTAGGCAAGAACATGATACTAGCAGTAGTTTCATTTTACTTTTACAAGGTTCTTAAAACAATTGTTGAGTTGCCTAACGTGCATGTTTCTAAATTCAATTTCTTGTTCCCAGCTTTCTGTTATGTTTCGTAAAAAAGTATTCTTGATTATCCCAATCTGTCAATCAGACAGAGAATGGTCTGTAGACTGGTTAAACAAGAATAATTTTAAAACAAGGGCCCCTTTCCCCTTTTTTTACTTAAAAGTGCCCAGATGTTAAGGCTGACACTCTTAACCATTTTAGTCTATTATTTATAGATGGTTAAATGGTCATAAATAACCGTTTATTTAGTGACTATAAATGTGCGAAACTGATTTAGGCTTGGTATAATTGTCAAGATATTTGGAGATATTTATTTATTGTGGGGCACCCTACTATTGTATTCAATGATCATGTGTGGGTGTCATGACTGTCTGCGACTCTATGGACCATATCTTTACATAGTCGCAGACCACCATAATTCAAATCTTCGCTACACCACTGCTCCCTCCAATTCTTAAATCATTGATTATCAAAGCACCTGAGAGGAAAAATTATTTTACAACTGCTTCTATTATGATTAATATAAGAAATGAAATGAAGTTAAATGTCCTACATTTCTGCACCGACTGGGCTAATGAAGACTGGAAATGATACAAGAACTTAAAACATATGCAATTTACTTAGAAAAACAAATAAATATCAAACAAAAACAACTATGGTCCACCCTAGTGTTACTGAAATGAGTTTACAAACAAGATGCCACCCCTTCGAACATTTTAACACTATTGTAGGAGAACGGACCTAAGAAACTAACAAATATGAAAACAGCAAAAATCTGTCCTTCATTATCAATTATAGAACAACTGTGTCTAATGATACAAATGTAGCATATTACTTTATTTTATTTCTCTCTAAATACAAAACATGTCAGCGCTGCACGATATCATGACAATCAAATTATATTTTCATATGTGTACTTAATACACTTTCAATATTTTATAAAACTACTATTATCTTAACGATACACATGTAATGATTTTATATATATTCTAGTCTACAGGAAATTGTCACCCTGTAAAACACCAGACCTAATTGATGTAACAACATCACACATTGACAGAGAATTATGTAATTTATATCAAAGTTGTGAGCTGACATTTAGCATAAATAACTCCCACCAAAAGCCAAAATGGCAATATAATACATCAAGGATCTGACATTTTTACTTGCCACAAGTAATAATATTCTTACTCATTATACTTATAAATATTTGTGATGTAACACGCAGGTGGCTGCAATTTACCAATGAAATAATAAGCTAACAAAGCCAATAGATCATTAATGATAATATCATATGCTCAATTAAACAAATATGATTGACATCTACTGTAGTAAGGCTAAGTGGAGTATGTTAACAGTTAATGACAAGTTTTTGTTTCTGTTAGAAAAACAGTCACAGCTGTGTGTGTGAACTTTTCATAGTGTCACACTTTGAACCCAGAAAAGAAACATTTAAATCATTGTGAAGTGTGAATATTAAGTTGAGACTAACATCTGTGAATTTTAACACATACGTTTAACACATCTGCAGTTAGCATATAAGGTTTTGAATCTAGCTCTAATCAATGACAA